TTTGACAGAGAGAGAGATAGCGAGAGCAGGAACACAAGCAGGGGGAATGAGAGAGGGAGAAGCAGACTTCCCGCCGAGCAGGGAGCCCAACGCGGGGCCCGATCCCAGGACCCTGGGATCATGACCTGAGCCGAAGGCAGACGCTTAACGACTGAGCCACCCAGGCGCCCTCTTTATTTTTTTTTAAGTATTTATTTATTGCGTGTGTACATGAGTGAAGGGAGGGGCAAAGGGGAAGGGAGAGGGAGAGAATCAAGCAGACTCCGCACTGAGTGCAGAGCCGGACTCAGGGCTCGATCTCACAACCCTGAGATCATGACGTGAGCTGAAACCAAGAGTTGGATGCTTAACTGACTGAGCCACCCAGGTGCCCCTCAACAGGAAATAAAATTTCTGAGTGTACTGTGTGTTTCAGTGATTTTGAGGCTTTACTAGCTAAGCAAGGCTATCAGCTCAGAGACTTCATCTTGGTTCAGAAGACCAGGCTATTTTTTCTTAACCATTTTTTAGAATTGACTATTGCTTCCCTTTTTGTCTTTGGATCTAATTTATATTTGTTTTATTTCCTTGAAGTTATTACATGAGTGACCCTGTGAATACTTGCCTGTGGGGACATATTTATGGATTCACTGAACAGTTTCACATTATATTTAGTACTTGGTAGTTTATAGAAACCTACTTGGTAGGTTTCCTTTTCTTGTCAGTATTTCAGGTTATTATTTCTCTTAGTTTGATTAAATAGTACATTTGTCTGTTATTCCACAGTCCCAATCTCAGGGTGATTTAGTAGTATTCAAAGTATAAGTAGAATTTTTACACAACTTTGGTAGGTATCCAGAAGCATTCCCTTTGTATTTACTGAAAGACCTTCTTTTGATAGCCACTGTTTGAATGTGAATGGCTGTCAGGATGAAATAACTTGGCTAGAGATTTGTCATTTGGTAACATATTGTCCAGAGACAGACAGAAATGCGGTATGATTTGTTTTCCAGAGAGGAATGTGAGAAAGAAGAGAAACATTAGTAATTAGCCACCACCTGGAAAGGATATGAGTTCTGAGGCCTACCCACTTCTCAGATATTAATCATCCTAATCTGTGAGCATCCATAGTATTTGGTACAGTGGCTTATCTACAGCACTTAATAATTGATCATAAGCTTGTTTATAAGTCTCATTCCCACCCTAGACTGTATTTTAGGACAGTGACTGGGCCTTTCTCACATTTGATGTCTAAGTTTCTGGAACATAGTAAATGTTTAGTAAATGTTGATAGAATCACTCCTGTTGATTGGATTTTTGGGTTTTCTGTATTGATTAAAGTTAGGATTTATACAAGTTTAAATAAAACTATTTGTTAAAAAGTCAGATAATGACTAAAGCAACACACTGAACATCTATTATAGTCAAAAGTATATTAAAGGAACACACTGAACATCTGTGACACACAAAAACTATAAGGCATGTTCTCAGAGAATTTATAATTCAATAATGTATGCCTAAGTATCAAGAAAATTTTAAAAAATTAATGGCTGCTGAAGTCTTCACTGAGTTGAAGTTAACCATGAATTTGTAGCTTCTTTTTGTAGCAGTGCTTACTGACCTGAGAACATGAGTAGAGAAAGCTGATGATGAAGATGATTCTAGGTTGTAGACCAGTCACTGTCCAAGGAGAGAGGGAGGCAAGGTAGCCAGACTTATACTGAAGCCCTAGATAAGATGGAGACTTCTGGGCTTAAAAGAGTTTTAATAAAGGAACAGTTGTAAAGACACACTCACTTGGGATTTTAGTAGATCATCTCAAACATGTCAAGCATTTGAAAGAAATACTCTAAAGTAGTATGAGTAAGGCTTTCTTTGGAGATGAGTTTTTCAATATTTTAGATCTTTCTCACTTAATGAAATGCTAGCTTTTTGAGCAGAAATAGAATTCTAACTTCTTTGACCATTTTAACAAAATTGTATCTGTATTTTCATTTAGTAATTTTCCGGCTGGTAGCACCCACAGAAGAATCACTGGAATGGGATATTCTTGAAATTAAGCGCCTCCTTGATCACCAGGATAATATTCTCTCATTGGTTAATGTCAATGGTAAGCTTATTGTGTACATGTTTATATTCTGTAAAATTTTGCACTTTGTTAACAGTACCGATTCTGAACTTTAGTCTTGTTTTGTTCTAGGAGTCTGTAATTACCATCATTAAAATAATGCTTTACACTAGTAGGGATCAGCAGTCTACTATATTCTGAGGTTTAAGCCAATGGAACTGATCAAGTTTCCTGGGTTGGTAGGTATCTAAGATGTAGGAATAAGAAAAACAGAGTGAGGCAGAGAAAGAAGATGATGGAGGGAGCAGGATTCAGGTGCTGCGTGGTAGCTGTGGGATGCCTGTCATAGGCTATAAATACTAACGCTTAGTAGCATTTCAGCATTTTTGGCAAATGGTTCTGGCTAGTTTTTCTTCTATGGACCACACATTACAATATCATACAGCAAGATATACACTTAGAGCAGAAGGAGCAGGATTCAAGTGGGTTGTAATCATGACTGAAAGACTGCCAGAGAATACCACCAAGATAAAGTAAAGATCTGCAGAATTTGGGTCCTATCTGCCCTTCTTCATGGTTGTGAGCTGACTCTGTCATCAGATGGCAGGGTAGGATCACAAACCACCAGTCCTGGGATTTGGTTGGCTCACTTTCAAATAAAGTGACACCTTGTATCATCAGACCTCTATTGGGGAATCTGTATTCCACGGTCACACAAGAGGAGTCCTGGATAGCTTAGTTTGATGATAGTCTGATGGAGACCATAAGAGAATTGTGAGATGCTATGAATATGATGTAGTGGGAGGACCGGACTGCACTCCCTGACCTGAGCCCTGGGTTGGCTCTTTTTGAGCAATACTTTGTGTAACCATGAAGGAAAAGGAAATAGAGGTACAGACAGCACCAAATATAGTCTCTATTTTTATGCCATTGAATCACATTTTCAGATACATGTGTGAGAATGTCCTTTCCAGCTCCAAAATCCTCTTCCCTGATAGTCATCTTCTTACACAACCCAGCTGCAAGTCTTTCTAAAGACCAGATTGTCTGTGGTGGTAGAAGTAACATGTTGGGAGCACCCTTTTATTTTTCTCTGGGGGCTTTTATTTCCTCTAGCCATGATGGGCAGCACAAAAGACAAGCTCTTTTTTGGGAGACCCTCTGATACTGAGCCCTTAACTCCAAGGCCCTGGAGCTGCTAAACAAAGCACAATTACACTGGTCAGGCCTAGTTGTTCTGTTTTAGTGGTGAAGCACTAGTACCATTGGTCCAGCATGGCTCCTTAATGAAGGTGATGGGATGTTACTCAAGAGACCTTAACCTCGTGGCGTTTCTTTTGCTGCGTGATATGCAAAGAAGCTTGTAACAGTTTAACCAAGAAAGTGTTCTTCAAGTATTTCTTTGCCAACTTCTTAAGGGAAGGAAAATGGAAATCTAAACAAAAAAATTGGTAATGAAAATTACAGGAAACTCCTAGTACTTTTTACTTTATTAACTCCCTGACTGTAAAATTACACTACAAATAATAAATAAGCCAGAAGCATATTGAGGAATCATATATGGACAAAGAGTTTGTTAGAATTTGAAAATGATATTGTGACAGTCTTATTGTGTATGCAGGCATGTTTGCTGTACCGCAGATTTCAGTGATCCTGAAATGATTATGTTGTACAATTCCCAGCTCCATTCTCAGCCCTGTGTCTTTTCCCCATAGTTACCATGGAAGATGTGGCTAGTTCCTGGGTTTGTACTTCACAGGGGAAGTACATTTTCATTGAGGTGGCCCCAGGCAACCTTAGAATGGTAGGACAGAATTCCCACAAATGTGGATAATGAATAACAGGTTTGCCAAGATATCTGAATTTGTGAGCAGAAGGTTTTCTAACACAGACATACAAGATAACCTTGTTTATGTCTTCTAGCAAAAGGCTCTGGTGCTTCATTTTATTCCTTTTCTTGTTTTGACAGCATGGTATGGTGATCACAATCTTTAGTACTTGTGAGGGAAGGATAGACAATTACAAGAATAAGATTTCATACTAAGTGACTTTTGATACTTACATTGGATGAAAATCCATCCATATATATCACTGAGGTTGTTTTGTGTGAAACATTTTGAGTGACCTGTTTGGGAATATATATTATACAGTGAAAATTACACTGACTTAGCTGAATGCCAGTATTTTGTTTTAAGTGGAAAATTCCAACTGGGCAGAAATACTTTGTGTAAGAATTGTGTAATACTTTGTTTCCAGTGCATAGCTGAATCACAGACAGTTGGGAGGATTAAGTCAGAGCAGGCAGCTGTGTGGTCTCGGGGTTACCTGTTATGATGACACATGCAGAGTTAGTGTCAAGAATCTTCACTCCTTAACTTCTCTGGTTCTTTTGTAGTTTGAATGAAATAGGAAAGAGGAGGGAAAGGGATGGAAAAGAAGGTCACGGAAAGAGTAGTACCGCCTTACCTGTCCCACTATTAAAATTAGAAACTTGTTTCTCTGCACAGATGAGAAGTGAACTTGTTTCTTCACAAAGCAAATTCGGTAGTGTGTTAATAAACTATAGAAATTGGACTTGGAACCAAGACAAAATAATGTTTACATGTATGATTGTTGGTAATTTTTTATTTCTAAGCAATTGTTCATCTAGTTATTAGATATTTATGTCATGGTTCATTTGATAAATGGAATAATCAAATCCTAATTAACTCATCTTTGTATTCCTAAATTACAAATAACTGGATGTCTTAATACCATTATTATGGAATAATACTGGGGGCTCAAAGTAATCTCAGGGACTCAAAGATAACATTTGATATCTTTTTTAAATGGCTATACATTTATTATTGGATTTTTACAGTCATCCTCATTCAATGTATGAGAAATCCAAATAGAGAAAGGTTAAATGACTTTCTGAGGACCAGGGGGCTAGTAATAGAGCCACAATTAGAACTTGGTTTTTAGACTCACACTTACCTAAAAAATGTAAGGATTAAAATAAATTAATTTCTTTAAGATAATTTTTAGTGTCAGCAGTTGCCCATTTTCTATTAAATATATAATTTATAAGGTTTCTTAGTTAGCTCACTAATTTTAAGGTTATAAAAACTTGTTATTATACAAGTAATACATAGTCATAGTAGAGAAATGAGAAAATAGTGAGAAACATGTAGAATGTAAAAATTAAAATTGTCCCATGCTACAGAATTAAACACTGGTCATCCATATCCTTCTAGGCATTTTTCTGAGCGTATGTATATATATACACATACGGCTTGTGGTTTTGTAATAATATGTCATGAGTATATTTCTAAAGCAATAGAAACATACTTTTACAACTTAATTTTTAATAATAGCATTACTGGGTTTTTTTGTTTGCCTTTTTAAAAAAAATTTTATTATGTTATGTTAATCCACATACATTACATCTTTAGTTTTTGATGTAGTGTTCCATGATTCATTGTTTGCGTATAACACCCAGTGCTCTATTCAGTACATACCCTCTTTAATACCCATCACCAGGCTAACCCATCCCCTCACCCCTCTCCCCTCTAGAACCCTCAGTTTGTTTTTCAGAGTCCATAATCTCTCATGGTTCGTCTCCCCCTCCGATTTCCGCCCCTTCATTTTACCCTTTCTACTATCTTCTTCTTTTTTTTTTTTAACATATAATGTATTATTTGTTTCAGAGGTACAGGTCTGTGATTCA